GGCTTCAGAGCTGCCGGACATAGGGTCACTATGAGTTGCAGGTGACTCAGCAGCACATCACATTGTTATTTTTATATACTGTTGAGTCAATGCTGACTCGTGGCTGACCCATGTTTTAAGAGACAGTAAAGTTGATTTCCTGTCTTTCTCCTGTGGAGCAGCTGGTGGATTTGAACCATGTACCTTAATAGTTACTTACTGTCCTTTAAGTGACAGACACCCTTGCAGGACCGGGAACAAAAATAGACTGGCATCCCAGGCCTGCGGTCTTTACGAAGCAGCTCTGATGATGCCGTTGCCAGTCTTAGCAGAGGCACGAAGACTAGTCTTGTGGATTCTTTTCCTGTGTGCAGATCTGCGCTCAAACACAGGCTGTGTCCTCAGTAATTCTGACCCGGTGACTCCATGCGTAGAGCGTTCCCTTGGGAGTTTTGAGGCTGAGACCTTTCAGAAGCAGATTGCCAGGCCTTTCTTCCAAATCACCTCGGGGTAGGTTTGAAAGTTCACCACTGCCACGTTGATTCTGATTCACGGTGACCCTTTCATGTTTCTGAAGCCACAGATCCTTATGGGAAGACAGCGCCCACCTCTCTCCACGGTGCCGTAGCTGGATTCGAACCACCGGCCTTTTGGTTAGCAGCCCAGCCTGTAACCCAGTATGCCAACAGGGCTCTTTTGTGGGTAGTGGAATCGTAATTCAGATCCCAGCCCCAGCAGAGCATGACTCAAACAGAAAGTGGGTGATGGTCACGTCGCCCGGCTCTCCTGGGACGGAGCGGAGATTCTGACTCAGGGGGACCCCCCCCCCCATGAGGAACCAGCTTTGCTCATTGGACATTGCCCAGTGGGTGAAGACTTAGTGGACTTTCTTCGATGAGTTAAGGGATGTTAAGTGATGAAGGGGCTCGAGTATGGGCTCGGCTTGGTAACTCGTCTATGACGTGTCCACGCGGATGCATCCTTCGGGTTGGTTTTGATTCTGCTGATTTAGAGGATGTGTGGATTTTCCGTGAACCGTTATGGAAATGCCTGACAAGTGCTGTTTGCTTCGATCTTGGAATGAGTTTCTTCATTGTATCTCATCTAGTCTTTGTTGGCTAAGTTCAGGTAGCTTCTCTGATTTGTGTGGAGAGAATAGTGGGATTAATTGACTTTCTCTCTTTAATTAAAACAGCGGCCTGAGCAGAGGGCCTGGGAGTTCTAACAATGGAGCTGACATTGGTCGGCCACGGGGGTGACTTTCTCTGAGCTGAGTAGCCTGGTCAGTGTTGGCTTGTCCCTCCCTTGCCAAGCAGAAGGCCGGGGATATCTTGGATATTAACCATTCCTTTCGAGCTTGTAAATGTTTCCAGTTTAGGGTGGTGTAAACAACAACAGTTAATTTTTGAGAAATCATAATCAAAGGGTGTATTCCACTTTGATAAAAGCTGTGTTTTGATGCCTTTATGCTTCAGCATATTTGCATTTTTTAAGGATGTTATATTTTCCAAGAACTTCAAGACATCCTCAGTGGTCATCCTCAGGGGACATGGAAAAGTGGTCTTGTGCATTAGACAGTTTCTGTAAAAGCTATTTGTCAAGGGAGAGTGTTTTCAGGGAAGGCAGGAATGTATCGAGGAGTGTATGTCTCATATAATAAGCAGCGTTGAGTTAATGTTGATTCTGTACCATTCTCTAAGTTTTTAATTAATTAAGGTTTGGGGACAAAGAGGAAAGCAGATTTTCTTAAATGTCTTGATTAAGGAAATGACTGATTTTATTACTACACAGATGTGGTGCTATTCTCAGGGATATTGAATAGAAGGAGTTTGTGGAGATGGAAAGGAATGGGTGGTACAGTGGAATAAGCAGTGGGTAGTTGAGCTGTACTCGTGGTTGCTGTGACGCTGAAGCCTGTGACAGTGATGTGCCAATCATGGTAATGGGCGCCCATGGTGGACAGTGTTGGCTGGAGCTTCCCGACTAAATCAAGCCTGGAAGCAGGAGCGGCATCCACTTCCGAAATGGCTTGCCTCCAGGAACTCTGTGTATGAGCAGTGCTCAGGCCGTTCGTTCATAGGGTCACTGTGAGTCGTCTACGACTCGACGGCATCAAACAACAACAACAGTTGAGCTGTAGTAGGTTGAACCTCCCACCGCTCCTTGGGAGACAGTTGAGACAGTTTCTCTTTCTAAAGTATCGCAGCCTCAGAAACTCCATCGGCACTTTCTGCTCTGGGCTGCAGAGTCGACATGGCTGGGACTTGCCGAGGTGGCAGTTGATGCCTTAAGTGATGTTATGCAAAACTTTTATATAGACCAAGAGACAGTCATTTGAGCAGAATAGGGGAATTTTGTGTGGCTTAGGAAAACTCAGGAAAAGTGTGTTTCGGGGTGGCACCTTCTCACCAGACTTTTCCAATCTGTACGCTGAGCAAATCAGTCAAGAAACTGAACTCTCTGAAGAAGAATATAGCGTTAAGTTTGGAGGAAGACTTGGCAGCAATACCCAGGGAGCACCGCTTTGCTTGCTGAAAGCGGACGGTGCGAGGAGCATATATTCTGATGAAGAGCAAAGACGGCAACCTTCGGTACGGCTTACACCTCAGCATCCAAGAAGCACAAAGCCTCACCTCTGGACAGTGGCCAGCAGCATGTTACATAGGGGAAAGATTGACATCATCAAGGGTTTCATTCTGCTTGGATCCAAACTCACCCCCGTGGAAGCAGTAGTCAGTGAGGCAACTAACATTGAAAATTGGGTAGATCTGCTCAGAAACCTTCACTCAGTAAGTGTTGAGAAGGGAGAAATCACTCAGGACTGAGATGCGTCTGACCTCATACGCACATGAAAGCCAGATAGACTGAAGACTTGATGCCTTTGAATTATAGCATTTGCAAAGAATATTGAATGTGCCATGGACTTCCAGAAGAATGAACAAATTTATCTTGGAGAAAGTATCGTCAGAATGCTCCTTGGGAGGGGAATTGTCCTCACCTGTGTCGTGTATTCTGGGTGTGTCACCAGGACGGAGCAGGCCCTGGAGAAGGACATGATGCTGGCTAATGTGGAAGTGAAGGAAGGCGCTAATGAGATGGACGGATACACACAGTACCAGCGGTGTGGACGGTCAGCACCACGCAGGGCTTCCTTCTAGCGTACTTGACGTTGCTAGGAGGTGGTACTTAACAACACTAACAACCACTGAGGTGCACCTGAGAGCTGGACAGTGGATAAAGATGACAGGAGAAGAATTGATGCCCGAGAGCTGTGGTGTTGGAGAAGAGTGCTGAATATTCATCCCGTGGACAGCCAAGAGAACGAACAGATATGTCTCGGAGAAAGTGCCGCCCGAGAGCTCAGTGGAGGTCAAGTTGACAAAGCTTCATTGCACATACTTTGGGCATGTTGCTAGGAGGTCCTGTTCCTTGGAGAGGGACATCATGCTTAGAAAGGTGGAAGGTCAGTGAAGGAGAGGAAGACTTTCAGTGAGTTGGATTGACACAGTGACACAATGAGTTTTAGTGTGTCAGAGATTGTGAGGACAGTACAGGATAGGACAGGGTTCCTCCCTGTTCTTTAGAGGGTCATTGTGAGTTGGATTTGACTCAGTGGCACCTAACAACCACCACCACGATAATGTAATTTTCCAGTGATTCCTTTAAAATGAGAATCCTGCAAAAGTGATATGATGGTTTTCCTTTGTCAGAGAATGGTGTGATAAATTGAAGAGAGTCTAGCCTGTCTTGTGTACGTCACTGCTGAGATCGAGGTGTGTACAGATGTTGGGGATTTTGAGAGATGAGTGTGACCCACAGGGGTGTGGTGGGAGAGGAGCGCACTCCGTGGGGCTTTTTCTGCTGTAATCTCAGGAAGCAGCAGTTCACCAGGTCTTTGTTATTTTTTTAAATATTTTTCTGCATGCGTGCACATACGTGTGTGTGTGTGTGTGTGTGTGTGTGTGTGTGTGTGTGTGCCGTCAAATCAGATCTGACTGGTATAGGAGGCGATTGTCTCTCCTTCTCAACCAGGTACCTCAGTGATTGCAGCGCAGCTTCTTGCCACTAGGCCACCAGAGCTCTCCTCACCAGGTCTTTCTTCTGAATCTCCAGCCTTCCGCTCAGCAGCAGAAGGTGGAGCCATCCCTGTCCCCCTCGTGGATTTTCGGGTGTGAAGTAGAGTGTTTCCCGTTAAGACTTGCTTTGTGCCAAGTAAGAACCTACTGACGATAGAGTGGAGCAGCTAGTGGATTCGAACTCTGTTCCTTTGGGGTGGTAATGCAATTCCTTACCATTAAGTCACCAAACTGAGGAGGAGGTCACTATGAGTTCTTCTCCATAGGTTTTTATAATAAATGACCATGCAGTGTTGGCTCTTTTGTGACTGCCTGGCTTCGCTCAGGACAGTGTTCTGTAGCGTCTTCCATGTTATTATTTTGCAAATGCATCTTTAGGGTTGCATAGTATTCCACAGCATACACACACAGCAGTGTCTTTGTCCCTTTCATGTATGGTGGACACCTGGGCTGTTTCCTCCTCTTTGCTGTTGTATGTGATGCTACGTGGACACAGGTGGACATATTCATGTTGCAGCTCTTACTTCTTGAAATGTGTTCTATAAACACCCCAGTGAAAGCAAAATAAAACCTGATTAGGGACAAGGAAGAGCGTACTGACGGTGACATGTCTTCAATGGGCTGAATGGGAGAACTTCTCAGATGTGCACCACGTCCTGATGCCACTTTGTCTACGGTGGAAGGGTCACTGAAGTCCTCGTCCGTATGGCCCTTCTGTGCTGGCCTTGAACCACAACCACCTTGAAATGACTCAGCAGGTCGTCGATAAACTACATGTTTCACCTCAGATGGTGAAGAGCAGGGAAAGGCTGAGGCGTCTGTGCTCCTGCGATGGTGGGTGGTGATGGGTGGTCATCGGGTGGCCCGTATCGGGGGTTACCGCCCGCGCTCCCTCTGTCCAGCGTCCTGGTCTGCACGTGTAACTCTTGCCTTGCTGTTTTGCAGAAGGCTGAGGAGAACACCGAAGGAGGGGAGTCTGCCCTGGGCCCCGACGGAGAGGTAAGCCATCGCCGTTGCAGCTGAGAGGGGGCCTCGTCCGTTCCCTGCATGTCCCCGTTTCCTTTCAGCTCAGCGTGCAGTATTAACTAAAACAGAAGTGCATCCGCACAACAGAAAATGACGCTGTGTGAGAGGGGCGTGGTGGCGAGCAGGGCCGACCTCATTGGCTGCACTTGCTATATTGCATTTTGCACCGGCTGAGGTTTTGTGCCGGTTGCACGGTCGCCGTCTCTCCAACAGCACGTGCCCGCTTCCTGCTTCCGTGCCTCCTCTGGTCATTCTCAGTGTGTCTATCTTGTTCCTCATGCCCTGGCCCACTTCATAGACTGCCAAACCCACTGTCCACTAAGGCCACGTCCCATGGGGCTGTCAAGGCTGAAATCTTTACAGATACAGCACAGACCGCCTTGTGTTTGCTCAGAGAAGCAGCTGGTGGACCCACATAGCATGTAGCGCACTGCGTCACCAAGGCTCCCTCGAAGACCCCATTCTAGTGTGGGTTTAATTCTGTACACGGGAAAACAGGAAAGAGTGCTGTAACTCCCTTTATTTGGTTGGTCAAGAACAAAACTCACAGTCTCTCTGAGTAACTTGCTTTCCTTGTAGATGAATCAACATTTGTTGGGTATCATCCTAGAATTTCTAGCACATATATGTGAGGACACATGATGTAATATGAATCTTAAGTGACTCTTTTTATTTTTATTATTTTTTTTCAATCCTAAGTGACTCATAATTCCAGGCTCCCCAGTATATTCCACTTACCGGTACAGACACGTAACATCTGACCCTACTTTCCTAGTTTGTTAAAAATTTGACGTTATATAAAAATACCTAAGCCCAATAGTTCATTAATTTGATGAACTAATTTTTGGATATATAGTCTTAAGTTTTATTTCCTGGTAATTACAATGAAAAGAATCCTGGTGGTGGGCAGCATAGTGCATCAGGCTGCAAAGAGAAAGGTCAGTAGTTCAAATCCACCATCTGCTCCATGGGAGAAAGATGAGCAGCCTTGACCCATGAAGACCTTACAGCCTCGGAACCCGATGGTCAGTCGCTGTGAGAAGGAGCCGACTCCAGAGCTGTGAACTTGGGGGTCTGTCCTGCAGCCGTCTCCTGAGCGTTCAGAGTGTCTGTTTACTGCATTTGTGTGTGTGTTTTTCTGAGAATCTGGCAGTTCCATGGCTGTGTGTGGTGTGAGCACCGCTCAGGGAGTTTTGAGTAATGCCCGCCGCACTCTGCAGTGTCCACTCCCTGCTTCTACCCACATCCTCACTCCAGAGGCCGCAGCTTCCTGTTCCTCCGAGGCCTGAAGGGAACAGTGACACAGGAGGGTGGCGGAGCCACAGAAGGCGGCACCTGGCTTTTCAGGGGACACGAGGGCCGATGGTGGCACCCCTCTGTGCCCCCTCTTTTGCTCCTTGAGCCCGTGGCTGCCTTTCCCAGGAAGGACGAAGCGCCTCATCTTGGCACAGAAGCGGAGGCTGTCCTCGTACAGCCCCGGAGGTGGACAGGACAGTCTGGAGGGAAGCGTCCCGATTTTTAAAGGCCATTTTGTGGCTAATCACTAATACCTCAGCTCCTTATAACAAGAGTCACCAGGAAGAGAATTGACTTGACCCACAGTCAAAGCCTCCTTAAGGTCTGCGGTAGGCGGGTAAGCGTGAGCTTCCCTGTCCTTACCTACGAACCTGTAGCAAACGACTTCCTTCCGTGGTTTCAGCACACCAGGGAGTGAAGTCGCTCAGTGAAGTCGCTCCCTACAGATCAGCCTCCACTTGCCTCACTTTACAGGGTCCTCGGCCCCCAGAAATCACACAAGCAGGCTGCTTCCTTCCCTTTAAGAAGAACACAGAAAAAAAATGACTTGGCATGAATTGTCTAAACATCTTAGTTTATCTTTTTACTCAACTCAAGCTCATTGCCAAACCAGCTCAATGTTGACCATGACCAGGGGGTTTTCAGAGGCAGTAAGTCACACAGAAGGAGACATGCCTACCCTTCTCCCAAGGAGCGGCTGGTGGATTTGAACTGCCTGACTTTGGGTTGGCAGCACAGCTCCCTACCCACTAGGCCAGCAGAGCTTATTGCTTTTAAGGAAATCCCAAAATAAAACCAAAACCCTACTGTCCTCGGTGAGTTCCTGGGGGACCCTGAAGGACAGAGTAGACCTGCCCCAGGATTTCCAGTCCTGTGGTTGTGTCTTTCTCCCACGGAGGCACCTGCCGGCTTCAGTTAGCAGATGAATGCTTTACCCACTGTTGCCACCAGGGCTCCTCCTTCCTAGTCCAGCCTTTCCACACGCAGCCTTGCCTGGGCAGCCTCTCCTGGATAAACACGCCTGGTACTCAGTAACACTCCTTTGCATAAGGCCACTCTCTCCTTGACCTTTAAAACAGTTTATTCTCCAAAGTGAGTTAAACACAGCCCTGTCAATGTCATTGACTCCCGTAATTTCCTGAGCAGGCCATTATTGATGGACTCTGGGAATGGACTCCGGTTCGGCCTTCTTCCGTTCATCAAGTCTCAAGTTAGCAGAGCTTTTCCCTTGATCAAGATGCCTGGTGACATAGTGGCTTGTGTGTCGGGCTGCTTACTGAGAGGTCAGCAGTTCAAATCCGTCAGCAGCCGTGAGGGAGAAGGTTGAGCACTCTGCTTCTGTCGAGGTTTCCAGGCTCTGAAGCCCAGGGGAGGCTGGTCATGAGTCAGAATCCCCTTCATGGCCCCGGGGGGTGTGGGGGTTTTATCATCCTTAGAAATGCCAACGGCTTGGTGTTGGATGTCAGTCTCTCCCTGTTGCAAATGTCTGAATGGCCCTTGGCTACAAACGGAAAGATTGGGAGTTCAAGTCCACACAGAAGTGCATTGGACGAAAGGCCTGGCTGTCTGCTTCCTCAAAACCAGTCATTGGAAACCCTGCGGAGTTCTGCTCAACCCTCAGACACGTGTGTGGTTTCCAGGGGGTGGTCGAGGTGAAAACTTCGGCTTTGGGTTTTGCAAAGAGGACACTGGCTGTGCAAAGATTAGACTGACCACTGACCACCAGTGCAATGGCATGGGCCTGCCACATGCCCTGTGCTTGCCTGGCTTCCTGGTGGGGAGTGTACAGTCGGGCTTCTTGTTTGTAAATGGCCACTCTCGCCTCCCCCTGAGTAGAGATGATGCTGACGGGAAGGGTGACGGGCTCAGGGTGGGTCTCTGCACTGTGGGGGCTGGTTATTGACCCTCTATCTCGAGCCACACACTGGGGAGATGCCTTAACAGTGGTCAGGGCTGGGACGGGATTGAGGAGTGTTGCATTCACTCTTAATCCTTCCACAGCTGTTTAGATTATTCTGCAGGGAGCTCAGGCTTGGTGGTAAGGAGCTGCACTGCCAAACCAGAGGCACACAGTTCGAATCCACCAGCTTCTCCTGGGAGAAAGATGGGCCGTGGCCTCCTGAGTTATTTACAGCCCCTGGAAACCCACAAGAGGACCACAGGACAGGACAGGCAGGGTTCAGAGTAGTGTCCATAGGGTCGCTGTGAGTCACAGTTGACAGCACTTAACAGGTTTATCAGGGGATCATGTCACTTCACTTTACCACTATACCTGTGTGTTTTGGGGGTCACAATTCAGTGTAAGACAGAGGAATTGTAGTTTTATACACAAAACTGAAACACCTCTTTACGATAGAGTCAACGTGTGGTGACTCTGAAGTGGACCTGCTTTTCCCACGTCCAAGGCAAGCATTTTTTGGAAGCAGGCTGCCCCATCTTTCATCAGAAATGCAGCTCCAACTACTGACCTTAAGGGTAGTGGTCAGTTGCCTTAACCCCTGCGCCACCAGGGCTCCCTTGGTGCTCAACTACTAACAAGATTGGTGCTTCACACCCAGCCCGCAGCACCACGCAATAAAGGCCTGGCAACCGGCTTCTGAAAGGACTGTGTTGTCACCGTTGAGCGGGTCCTCACTCACCGCAACCCCACGTGACAGAGCAGAACTGCCCACAGGCTGTCAGAGTGTCCTCTTTATGGGGACAGATTGACAGATCTTTATCCTCCAAAGGTGCTGGGTGGATTTGAACCCCCAACCTTTCAACTTGAAGCTAAGTGCTTAACCTCTGTGCCAGCCGGGCCCCTTCCTTACAGATTCTAACTCTGGCAAACTCTGATGGCCCTAGTGGCAAGAAGCTGCACTGCAATCCCAGAGGTGAGTGGTTCAAATCCACCAGATGCTCTGCTGGAAAAGGAGGGACAATCTCCGCCTGTACCAGTCAGATCCAATTTGCTGATACACACGCACAAAGAGAAAAATAATAAAAATTTTAAAAGGCCCAACTAAACTCTAACTCGATGCCATCGAGTCAGAACAGCGCAGCTCGCCCTCCGGCGAGTTTTTTGAGGGTGTAAATCACACAGGAGGGGAAGGCTCAGCTTCCTCCCAGAAGCAGCTGGTGGACTGGAGGGTCCAGCAAGCTGCTGCCTGTGGGTCAGTGACGCAGCTCCGTGGTCAGCACTGCTGGAGCTTGCCTGACTCACTGCCCTCAAGGCACTGCCCTCTAGCCACTGCAAGGTGCCTTGTGGGCCAGAGGAGACGGCCTGTGGGGCTTCCCAGGCGACCATCACCACTGTCACATCTTCTCCTGCAGAGCAGCCTGTGGTTTCAAACCACTGACATTTCCCTCGGCAGCTGAGGCCTTAAACACGCACTGCCATGGCTCTTTTCTAGAAAGATGAGTCTAAATAAAAACTAAACTAATTACTGAGTCAGTTCTGCTTCAAAGGGACCCTCTACTGAGTTTGTGAGACTGAAAATCTTCTCAGGAGAAGAGTAGCCATCTTTCTTTCTCAGAGCAGTTGGTGGATTCAAACTCCTGACCTTCTACTTAGCAGCCTGACTCTCTACCACCAGGACCAGGCAAGAGAAGCCCTGTAGCGTGCAGTTGTGCTCTGTGACGCGGGGCTGCTGGGAGTCAGAGTGGACTCTCTCCTAGGTTCAGGGGTTTTATTTCGGGAGACGTGGTGTCCACTGCCCATGGGGCCTCATTTGGTGCTGAGGTCTGCACACACACAGGGTCCGACGCTGGGCACTTCTGGGTTGGTCCAGCATCCGCTCATGGTGCGTCTGATCCCTCCCTCCCAGCCCATCGATGAGAGCAGCCAGATGAGTGACCTGCCCGTCAAGGTGACCCACACAGAAACCGGAAAGGTCCTTTTCGGCCCAGAAGCTCCCAAAGCGAGCCAGCTGGATGCCTGGCTGGAGATGAACCCCGGGTAAGGCGTTGGCCCTTGTGGGGTCAGGCTGCCCCCATGATGCTTGACAGTCACGTGACAGTTGCCTTTTCTTCCACGTTTTTTCTTCCCTGTTGTTCTCTTCTGCGGGGACCATGGCAGTCGCATTGCCTGCACCTACTTTTGTTTTGGGACTTAAAGTAACTAATCTCCCTTCCCCGTGGCCTTTTCCTGCAGCTACGAGGTGGCCCCTCGGTCGGACAGCGAGGAGAGTGACTCCGATTACGAAGAGGAGGTGTGTGCGCATCTGTGTCTCTGTTTCTGGTCTGGTGGTTCGGAGGTCGGGGGCGCCGTGTCTCCCTGAAGTCGGGACCAGCCTGTGTCTTTCTGTGTCTCTGTCACCCTTCATGTGAAGAGCAGGGCAGGAGATTGGAGAATGTGCTCATGGCACAGGCTCCGCGGTGGAGGTGGAGAGACTTGGTGAATTCCAAATCTCTTAGCTCACAAGGAAAGGGAACAACGCCCTGGTGGATCAGTGGTAGAATTCGCACTTTCCCACAGGAAGCCCAGGTTCAAATCCTGTCCAGTGCACCTTGGACGCAGCCACCACCTTTCTGTCTGTGGAGGCTTGTGTGTGGCTGTGATGCTGAACACATTTCAGTGGCATTTCTGGACTAAGGCTAGGAAGAAAGGCCTGGTGATCTCCTTTTGAAAATCAGCAAGTGAATCCCCAGATCACAGAAGTCTGATGTGGATTTAGTTACGAGGACGGCACAGGAGGAAGTGTCTTCTTGTCGCCCTTGTGTCTGGGGTCCTCGTGAGCCAGTGTTTACGTCAGTATACACAAACCCCCAGCGCCCAGGGGACCACTGGTGGGCAGTGACCCCCTGAGGGCCCCTTTGACCAGCTCTGGCTCAGTGAGTCACACAGCAGCGCAACTGTAACTGTTGAGACAGACGTGCAATTTCCCTCTTCACTGTCATTATGATTTCATCCTTTTCCCACGAGGCCCCTGGCAGGGGTACCCTGCTTGAATGTCACTATCTGCCTGTTTCCCTCTGACCGCCAGGATGAGGAGGAAGAATCCAGCAGGCAGGAAATGGAAGAGAAAATTGTGCTGGATCCCAACAGCGAAGACGTGTCTGAGAAGGACGCCAAACAGATCATCGAGTGAGTGTCCCGCAGAGCTGTCCTCCAGGGAGGTGCTTCACAGGGGCTCAGCAGGGACCCAGCGCTCAGGCCAGGTTCCCTTTGTTCATTTGAGGTCAAGCAGGCCTGCATTCAGTCCTGGGCCCACAGCTCTTCTGTTAGCAGGCCCCCGGCAGAGTGATGACCTTCCCTGGCCTTGACATTGTGATGTGCACACGGTGTTGTTGTTGTTGTTGTGTGACTACCACTCATAGCAGCCCGATGGACAGTGGCTCAGAGCCTGGCCCTGTCCTGAGCCAACCTCCGTGTCTCTGACACACCTGCCTCCAGTGCCACAGTCACTGTCAGTCTGGCTCATGTGCGCACCGTAAGAATGATTATATCATGCTCACCTTGCTTATAGTTTTGGATTGAGATCTGGTGGTGCAGTGGTTAAGGTACATGACTGCTGACCAGAAGGTCAGAGGTTCAAACCCACCAGCTGATCCATGGGAGAAAGGTGTGGCAGTCTGCTTCTGTATAGATTTATGGCCTTGGGACCCCATGAGCAGTTCTACCCCGTGAGTTCTAACCCCATGAGTTCCACTCCATCCTGTAGGCTCCCTGTGAGTCTTATGTGGCTTGACAGTCATGGGTTTCAGTTGCTGGGTTTTAGAGGGAAGATTAAAGATGCAGGTTCCATTCCAGGCCGTGCTCCCCGTGCCCAGCCACCACCCATCGATGAGTGGAGCTGAACAAGCTTCCGCAGAGTGTCCAGACTAAGGTAGACAAGGAAGAAAGACCTGGCACTCAGCTTCCAAGAAGGAACCACTGAAAACCCTATAGATCACAGAGGTCACATGAGGGGAGGGGTGCGCACAGAGGTCACATGAGGGGAGGGGTGCGCACAGAGGTCACATGAGGGGAGGGGTGCGCACAGAGGTCACATGAGGGGAGGGGTGCAGGGCCTGGCCTGTTTCATCCTCTCACACGGCTGGGCACCAGGAGTCGGGACCAACTCGGCATCCTTGTCCAACATGGTAACGTTTGTTTACATTAAGGCGTGTGCTGTTAGCTGCCACAGTCAGGTCCGGCTCACGGTGGCCCTGTGTGTCTGGAGGTCTTCAGGCTTCACTGGTCAGACTTCCAGCCCTTTCTTCTGAGGCACCTCTGGATGGGCCAGTAGTTGAGCACTGACCCGTGGGTGCCCCACAGGAGCTGCAGTAGAGGTCATGGGTAAACCATGGCTGCTACAGCTCACCAGGCTGAAGGGGCGTAAAAGACCCAGGCATGGATGTCTGTGTGTCCCCCCAGGACGGCCAAGCAGGACGTGGACGACGAGTACAGCATGCAGTACAGCGCCCGGGGCTCACAGTCCTACTACACCGTGGCCCACGCCATCTCCGAGCGCGTGGAGAAGCAGTCAGCCCTGCTCATCAACGGCACATTGAAGCACTACCAGGTGAGGCCACGGCTGGGTGCCCCGCAGCCGGCCACGTCCACGGGCCAGGCTTCCACACCTCGGCCATCCACATCCACAGTCCAGGCTTCCACACCTCGGCCATCCACATCCACGGTCCAGGCTTGCACACCTCGGCCATCCACATCCACGGTCCAGGCTTCCACACCTCGGCCATCCACATCCACGGTTCAGGCTTCCACACCTCGGCCATCCACATCCACGGTTCAGGCTTCCACACCTCGGCCATCCACATCCACGGTCCAGGCTTGCACACCTCGGCCAGCCACACCTGTGGTTCAGGCTTCCACACCTCAGCCAGCCACACCTGTGGTTCAGGCTTCCACACCAGGGCCACTTCTCAGGTCCCATGACGTGGAGGCTGGGGTGCTCCCATGGCCCCTGCAGGCCAGGTTTTGAAGCGTCCCATTTACTGTATAGGGTCTGACCGCTTGCTCCAATGTGGCCGCCAGCTGAGGCCGGGAGGTGGGTGGAAGGGACGAGGATGGAGAGGAATTTTGCTTTAAGGAAATACCAGCTTGCTGTTTGGACCTATCTCATTATGGGCTCTTTCAAAATGGAAAGCCCAGCCTCGTTCTTTCATTAGGGAACATCTGAACCTCATCTTGAAATAGCTGGCCGTCCAGTGGGTTTTCAGAGGAAGTAACTCTTGCGGAAGGAGACTGCCCATCTTTCTCATGGCAGGCAGTTGGTGGATTCGAACCACAGGCATCGGGTTGGAGCACAGCTTTTTACCATTAATGGGCACCAGAGCTCGGAATCCACACAATAGACAGATCTGTAAAGTGAATAGAAGTCCTCACTCCTGAGAACAGCCAACTAGACAAGAACAAAAGGGCCTTAAGTGCCCAGGGAGGAACCTCGGAAGACAGAACAGACGAGGGTAGAAGGATGGGTGGAAACAAGAATCACAGAGCAGAAGTGGGTAGAGCAGAGAATGGTGGAATGGCAAACCAATTTGTACTGTGAACTTTTGATCAAACTACCATAATAAAATTAATCATACTATTAGAAGATGCTCTGGTGACATAGTCTGTATGCTGTGTTTCTAGACAGCTCCTTCCCTGGGGCTCTTCCCCTTAGAGGTCAACAATGTCACGTACTGTCTGGGAGTTTATTCTCCCCCGCCCTTGGTGGGTGCAGGCCTAGCAGAGTGTCCTCTGACTCGCTGACCCTGCCCGCATGGGAGATTCTCTTTTGCAGGAAGGTTGTTCCCCACCTGCGTCCTTCCTCCTAGTCCTGCCTCCTGGCCTGTCCATCTCTTGTCCCCCACCTGTGTCCTTCCTGCCTCTTGGTCCTGCCTCTTGGCCCATCCATCTCATCCCCCCACCTGCATCCTTCCTGCTGGTCCTGCCTCCTGGCCTGTCCATCTCTTGTCCCCCACCTGCATCCTTCCTGCTGGTCCTGCCTCCTGGCCTGTCCGTCTCTTGTCCCCCACCTGCGTCCTTCCTTCCTGCTGGTCCTACCTCCTGGACTGTCCATCTCTCATCCCCCCACTTGTGTCCTTCCTGCTGGTCCTGCCTCCTGGCCTGTCCGTCTCTCGTCCCCCACTTGTGTCCTTCCTGCTGGTCCTGCCTCCTGGCCCGTCCGTCTCTCGTCCCCCACTGACTTTCGATCTTGGCGGGGTTGAGATCTGAGTTGTCTTGGATTTTCTTCGTTTCTAGTTAATCCTCAAACTGCACGCACTCAAATGTCAAATCAGGACAAGCTGGCGGAGCTGCTTAAAGTTCTCAGCAGCATGTGGCCGACGCCACCTCGCGATCCAGTTAACACCCAGCTACTGCCCAGGATCAGGCGTTGGGGACTCGGACTGTGGGTCCCTGCCCCCCCGACTCCGGGGAGCCCTGCATGGCCGCGCGGGGTTGAGAAGTGGCCTCCTGGCTGGTTGTGGAGTGGGTGCCGGTGGGCATCTGCTGCGTGGCTCTGCGGTGACTGAAGCCGTCCCCCTCTGTTTTCAGCTGCAGGGCCTGGAGTGGATGGTGTCCCTGTACAACAACAACCTGAACGGCATCCTGGCGGACGAGATGGGCCTGGGTAAGACCATCCAGACCATCGCCCTCATCACGTACCTGATGGAGCACAAGAGGCTCAACGGCCCCTATCTCATCATCGTGCCCCTCTCGTGAGTACAGCCGCCGGTCCCCCTGCGTGCAGCCGCCGGTCCCCCTGTGTGTACGTAGTGGGCAGTGTCGTGAGTACAGCCGTTGGTCCCCCTGTGTGTACGTAGTGGGCAGTTTGTGAGTACAGCCGCTGGTCCCCCTGCGTGCAGCCGCTGGTCCCCCTGTGTGTACGTAGTGGGCAGTGTCGTGAGTACAGCCGTTGGTCCCCCTGCGTGTACGTAGTGGGCAGTGTCGTGAGTACAGCCGCTGGTCCCCCTGCGTGCAGCCGCTGGTCCCCCTGCGTGTACGTAGTGGGCAGTGTCGTGAGCAAAGCCGCTGGTCCCCCTGCGTGTACGTAGTGGGCTGTGTCGTGATTACAGCCGCTGGTCCCCCTGCGTGTACGTAGTGGGCAGTGTCGTGAGTACAGCCGCTGGTCCCCC